TACATTCCATGTCTAATTATGTATAAGATAGTAAAGTAAATTTAAGCGTTTTTGTGTGTTAGTTCTCAATACTTAGCCTCTCTTGTATTCTTCTCTTTGCCATTTGTATACAAGGAATTTAACGGTGATATCTCAGCATCTGTAGAATTATAAAATGCTAGAATTGAAAATGCAACTCATGGAATTGGCATTTTCTTGAGCAGGGGCCATGCTGAATTCGTATTTTCTATACTTTGACAATTCCATAACAAGAAACCAGATACCTTAGGAGCCACCAATTTTCTGTATAATGAATCCCCAAGAATTAGCTTCCTGGTAATATTCTGGAGAACAAACCTAGAAAACATGGGTAACAACCAATTAAGATGAGAGTTATACATGATTGTTTATTAGTGAAACATTTCAAACTCAAAATAATGTCTTCAAAATACTTTTCAAGTAATTATAACAATTGGCTTTTATTTATTACAAAATGTTTAGGTCCAGAATGTAATTCACCTTATTTTAATCATATTACACCTTAAAGATAATTTCTTGATAGATTTTGGGGGAAAGGTATCTGATTACATTAAGATGCTCTTTGGGACTCATGCATTTTGTACTATAGTTTCTGGATTTAAGTTCAACACATTTCCGATTCCTACTCCCTACTCCCTGCTAACACACACCAGGAAATCATTGGCTGAAGAATAAAGTTCCTGGTTCAGTGTCAACTACATGGAAGATCTAGACTGAGTCCCTAGCTTCTGCTTTTGGCTTGTCCAACCTCAGGTCTTGTGTGCATTTCAACAGTTAGATTTCTTTCTCTTTCTTCTTTTTCTTTTTTTCCCCTCAACTCCATACTCTGTATGTTTATGTGTCTGTCTGTATCTCTCATTCATGTCCGTTGTATCATCTGAATAATATTAATTACATAGCAAAGATAGTATCCTGGGATGTCACATTGACTACAAATTTAATCATTATATGTGCCATTTTGCCTTTTTCATGATACATAGATTTCCAAGTGCCAACAAAAAACTTATTGTTTTTTTAAATTTGCATTTTCTAAGGGGAAAAATAACAACTTTTAAATATGGAATGATAGTCATTTTGAGGTTTTGTTTTGACTTTCTTTCTTTTGATTGTCGTTTCAACCATCCCACACCATATTGCATTGTACAACCTGTGTGTCATTCTCAGTGAATTTAACTGCGGTTTTGACAGAAAATTACATATGCAGTTTCTTTTATCCTGGCTTTTCTCTCTTCAAGAATTATTGTCAATCTTATATATACACCCAAATCTCAACTCACATGACAACTCTTCCATGTGGACTTCACTTCTCTACCCAGAAAATTCAGATACATCTTTCAATTTGAAATCAATTAAAATGTGTACAAGGCAATTTACAATATTCTGTATAGAACACTATTATTTTAGTGTCCAATATTATGCATTTCTTATTTTATTTGGGAGACTTGTAACTAGTGACTTTAAATACAATTGCTCAATCCTAGGTCATTCATAACTCATGGTGGAACCAACAGTGTCTTTGAAGCTATCCACTATAGTATGTGTACAATGGGCCATTCAAAAGCCAAGAAGAGCTGACCCTCCCAAGAGATTTATCTTTCTTAATGATTTGGAAAGAACAAGCCCATCCAAACAATTGCAAAAATAATGAAAGTGACTTTATGAGTGCTACTTGCTATCCCTGCTGTAATTATGTAATGTAGATGTGTATATATATGTCTCGATGCCGTTGGAGTCTTCACAGGTGCAAACATCGATAAATTTTTCTATGCTTCTGATGCAATTGAAACCTCGATTACCTGTCAAATGTTAAAACAGGCAACAAAAAGTATTGATTTGTCATATCAAGGCTATTGCACTTTTGTAGCAGACATGTTTTACTTTCCCTTATTTTTCTCGAGAAGCTGATATAGGGATGAAAACTCCTTGCAGAATTCTTCCACAGGAATAAAAGAACACCTGCTGTTTTGCATTAACACAGGTTTAAAAATCTGTCTATTGATTTGAGCTTTTTAGGGTTACTGTACGCCCAGATTTTATAACAAATAGTAAAACCTATGGATTCTCCAACCAAAGTGTCATGGACAACAAATTAACTCGGGAATATTTACTGGTAGAAAAAACTGGTTATATATAATAACTAAAGGAGATTATTAATTTTAACAAGAACTAATTTTATATTCACAAAGGGAGACATTGCAAGAATTTTATTAGAGAAAAATGGTTCCATTGTTTGGATGAGGAAAATCAACAAATACCACTAACTGAGAAACAGTGCAAGGGTTCTCCCTGTCCTCCCACGGATCCTTCCCCTCTCCTGCCTTTTCTGCTGACTCCTCTTTGAGCAGATGAGTTACAAAGGGTAATTTTGTAAGATTTAGAAAATCAAAATACCAAGTCATGATGAAAGGGACTCAGAATGACTTGCAGAAAAGTAAAATCAATGAAGTTCAGATAAATTGGTTAAAAGTAACCTAAAATTCTAAATCAGAGGAGGTCATCTTTGGACAAGAGTTAATCAGTAATAAACAGAATATTGAGGGAACTTGGGGGTGAGAAGCAGGTCACACTGGTTCTAGCCTGAAGCTCTTTGCCAGCATGCTCTCTGTAGCTGCTTATTGCCACAGACACAGCAAACAAATCACGATGGAAACCTATACTTGTAAATGGAAAACCAACGTTTAGGTTTTAACAAAAATTTCTAAAACTCTCCATTAAGACTTTCCTGGGCTTACAGTAGCTAGAAAGTAACCACTACATTTACTCTCTGGAGAGGATGTATTGAACACTTTAGACTGCCAGATCTCATTCTATCAATCTCCATTTTCTCTGCTACACTCCCTTTTCTCAAGTTAAATTTTACTTCTTCTTTTCCTTCCACTGTTTCCAATTTATAAATTTTCACCAACAGCAGGATATCAAACCACACACATACCCCACCAGTTCTCCTCATAATATGTTGGTGCCAATAGTCAGAATAGAATGAAATACATCAAAGAATGTTATTTAGCCTTAATAGAATGAAATTTTGACATCATGAGTGATATTGCAAGATGACATATTCCAATAGCTAAGAGAAAAAAGAAGAATACCACATGATCTCACCAGATGAGTCATCTAAAACAGCCAGTAGAAGCAGAGTAGAGGAGGCACTGGAAGGCCAAAGGGTCTGAAGTTTCAGTTGGACAGAAAGGAACTTACAAATCCACTGTACAGCATGGTGAATTTCTTAGTAAAATTCACATTGCTTGCTTCTAAAGCATAAACTTTTTAAATCACATTTAAAAATAATATGTGAGGTTACATGTATGCTAATTTAGTTAGCTTGATTTCTCTTCACACTGTATACATTTACCAGACCTTCATATTGTAAACCATGCTTTAAAAAATACAGCATTTTCAGTAAACACAAAAATAAATTTAAGACTTGACAAAAGCAAAAACACATCTATAGCAAACAAACCTTCTTCTCCAACTACTGTCTTTTCCACTGCCATTTAGACAACATCTTCAATTAGGATCCATACATCTATATGTAAAATATTTACCCATAAACAACATAAATGTGTTGCTGATAAATTTAAAATTCTCCAGTTTTTTTTAAAAAGATGATTGTCATTATAATGTAGAATAAGAGAAAATATATGCAATATTGAATTTTTAAGTCTTCATATATGGCAGCAATTCCTAAAAAGAGGCAAAAGTATTTTATTATTTTGCACAGACATATTTCTGGTTTTTTCTATAATTACTATCCCTTAGGTAATCTCAACCATTTATATTAGTTATAAGCTTTAACCTGTATAACCAATGGTAGTTTTAAGCAGGAAACAGAAACTGTAAGATTGTCTAGCTAATCTTATCCATGTGTCTGCATTATCTATCACTTAAAAGAATCTGAGATAGGAAGAGCTGACATCTATAACAATCTTATCCAAAGACAATTATACTTTTTGTCTTAATAATCCATCAATGTTTATAATACACAAAGTTAATCAACATATAAAATTTTTAAATATGTTTATTGACTCTGAATAAAAACTGGCAAAGTAGTTATACCAACTTAATGTCCCTTAGAATGTTTGAATTGATCGGGAATCAAGTACAGAACCAGTTGGTAACTGTTTTTAAGCCATCTATTTAATATTTCAAATATTGTGAATGAGTTTATTGCAGAAAAAAGAAACGGTGGCGGTTCAACTGCTTGTAAAAATCCTAACTGATGCATACCGGAGACCAGCTCCGACTGACTCGAGAGCTTGCAAAGGATGTGTGGATCAGCAGAAGATAAGGAGGAGGAGGCATGGACCACTATAGCATGATGTTCATAATATTCAACTCAGAAAAGTCACCTTCTTTATTTATACAGAAATCATCACAAGCATTTGCACACTGTCCAATTGTTTCATTTTTACTTCATTATAAAAGAATGATCACAAAATCAGTCCAAAAATTATTATTATTATTTTACTTCAGAGAAAATATTTTCAGCAAACTATTATTCATTCAAACCTGCAGTGATCTGGCTGAATCCATGGTTGACAACTCATCAGGTTACTTTTGTTCATGGCTTTCTCTTGAAAAATTAGGATTTAAGGTGTACTTCTTGATAGCTTGACTATACTTGTGATTTTCAGCTTTCACAACTACAGTTGTGGTATTTAGGAAATAAAACAATAAATGGAAAATGTTTCTCTCTCCATTTCTATCTCATTCTTTCTATAATCCTCCCTTTCAAATAAATAAAAGAAATATTTTAAAAGGTGAGAGAGATACTTAGCACACTGAAAAAAAAAAAAAGGTAGAGACGATTTAACTTAACAATTTCCATGCCATCCACAGGCCTTATTATTCATATTCATATGATGTATTTGCATTGATCAATGCAAGTTATATTTTAACTACAAGAAAAATTTCCTCATGAATATAAGCCTGATTAGCTAGAATAAAGAGCAGCAGTTGGAGAGGAAGCATTGCATTTCACCATGTCTGTGAAACGCATTTCTGTTCTGGTGCTGCTGCTACAGCTGAGTTGTTTCATCAGCTCTGGGAGTTGTGGAAAGGTGCTGGTGTGGCCAATGGAATTCAGCCATTGGATGAATTTGAAGAACATTCTTGAAGAACTTATTCAGAGAGGTCATGAAGTAACTGTTTTGAGATCTTCAGCTTCTATTGTAATCAATGCCAAGAATGAATCCGAAATTAAATTTGAAACTTTCCCTACATCTTACACTAAAGACGAATTTGAGAATTTTTTCATGGAATGGTTTGATGAGATGATATATAATATATCAATGGATATATATTGGGAACACTTTCCAGTACTGAAAAATTTTGTTCTAAAATATTCTGATATTTATGAAAATATCTGCAAAGATATAGTTTTGAACAAGAAACTCATGATGAAGCTGCAGAAAGCAAGGTTTGATGTTGTTATTGCAGATGCTGTTAGTCCTGGTGGTGAGCTGCTGGCTGAGCTGCTTAAAATCCCCCTTGTGTACAGTGTCCGTGCCTCTTTTGGTTATACTTTGGAAAAGCATGGTGGGGGGCTTCCACTTCCTCCATCCTATGTACCTTTGTTGTCCTCTGGTTTAGGTGGCCAAATGACATTCACAGACAGGATAATAAATATGCTATGCGTGCTTTACTTTGACTTCTGGTTTCCAAAGTTTAATGAAAAGCGGTGGGATCAATTTTACAGTGAAGTATTGGGTAAGTCATTTTTCTAATGAGTTCTAGTTTTGGGGACTAGTATGAATATAAAATCAGAAGAAAATAATGAAGTGAAAATATAGAAGACCTATCGCTATCAGAATGTAATGCAATTCAAGCTATTGGAGCATAACTACACTAGGATGTTCTTAGGCAGCCATACACAAACAAATGGAAATGCTGAAGATTTTCCTAAGCAACCCATGGCCTATTACCATTCACTTTTCATTTTTCATTTTATAACTGTCTGATTTAATGATGAATTATGATTATGAGCATTGAGTTGAATTTTGACATATGATTTCCTCTGGCATACATAACATGAGCATTAAATACATTTATGTAAATTACAGTAAATCTATATAAAATATTTTTATTGAGAGCAGTGCAGACACTTCATGCTTCATAATTGCATCATTCCATAATTTTCAGATATTATATGAATATTTCATATTGCATCCCTCCTACTACTTTCTCTTTCTTTTCTCTCCATCCAGGAAGACCTGCTACATTCTTGGAGATAATGGGGAAAGCTGACATGTGGCTCATTCGAAGCTATTGGGATTTGGAGTTTCCTCGCCCACTATTACCAAACTTCCAGTTTGTTGGAGGGCTCCATTGCAAACCTGCCAAACCTCTGCCCAAGGTTATATACTTCTGTGCACTATATTTGGTTTCCTCTGTAGTTTCTATGGAAATGACTTTGCATTCTTCAATTAGAGCATTTCACTTAAAGAGATAATTATTCTAGTGTGGAAGAGATCAGAAAATTATATTAATGAGCCTTTTTTAAAAAAAAAAAGATTGGTTGATTTGTTTTGAAAGGCAAATTTACAGAGAGAAGGAGACACAAAAGGTTCTTTCATTTCCTGGTTCACTGTCCAAGTGGCCACAAAAAGCCAGAGCTGAGCCAATCGGTAGCCACTAGCCAGGAGCTTCTTCCGGGGCTCCCATATGGGCTCAAGGTTCCCAGGCTTTGGGCTATCTTCTACTGCTTTCCCAACCCACAGCATAGAGCAGGATGAGAAACAGAGCAGCCGGGACACAAACTGGCACCCATAGAGGACCCAGGAGCGTACAAGGCAAGGACTCAGCTACTAGGCCATCTTTCCAGACCCATATTAGTGACTTTTTAAAACTTCATCAAACCATGGATTAAAAGCTAATGTACAAGATGCAACATTTGAAAGGAAAATAAGAAGTGAAATTTGTTACAAAGTTAATAACAAGAGTCATTCTTAATTTTAAAAAAGCATTACGGTGGTGACCAGCATGATGGAATTGCAATTTTTCCTCTGCCTATTGCATCAGCATCTATCTCATTTGTGTACCAGTTTATGATCTGACTGCTCCAGTTCCTATCCACTTCCCTATTTCTGGCTTGGGAAATAGTGAAGGATGGTTTAAGTGCTTGGATTCCTACAACCAATGTAGGAGATCTGGAGGAAGCTCCTAGCTGCCAGCTTCAGATCGCCTCAGGAATGGAACATATGGCCATTTGGAGTGTAAACCAGTAGATGAAAGAGCTCTCTGTCATTTTCTCTGTAATTCTGAATTCAAAATAAATATAAATAAATTTAAATATCTTTTTAATATTTTATGAGTATATTGCCGAGACACAAAAAGATAAAGATATCAATTTACCATGGAAACTTGCATTTTCATTAATTATCAAACACTCAAATAATCTTTAATTTTATAAAACAAAAATCTGTCAGATTACACTAAATGAATTAAAAATATTGCTACCATTTGGTCTTATAAAATATGCAGCATTGTGCAAAGAAAATTATATAATGAGTCCAAAATCAATGTCTTTGTAGTACTTATATGTAAAAAATACATTGCAAGCAAACAAAAATGAACATTAAGGAATGATTAAAGTATATATTTAGATATTAATACACAAGCACACACATATATAAATATATATCATACTATTATTATCATTCTGTGAAAGAAATTTAATAACACTAAGTTAGGAGTTTTAGCTGAAGACACAGGAAAAAGGAGATAAACAAAAATTGTGTTTTTTTCTGTAACAAAGATTAACAAATATTAATCACATAACATTCTTTTACCATAAAGTTTAAGTACCTGGAGACTTTGTAATGCAAAGGTGTTAATCTTTTTTCACAGACACATTTCTTTCTTCACAGGACATGGAAGACTTTGTGCAGAGCTCTGGAGAAGAGGGAGTTGTGGTGTTTTCTCTGGGTTCAATGATCAGTAACATGACAGAAGAGAGGGCCAATGTGATCGCATCAGCCCTTGCTCAACTTCCACAAAAGGTCAGAAAGTGCAGTCTAAAGGGGACTGCTGAATGAGATTATTTAACTGCAAAATGAGTCAATAAAAAATTAGAAAACCTTCCTGTCATGAATGGTAGATACTTATGACAGTATCAATATACCTAAGATACCAATTAAACCTTACATTTCAGGGACAAAAATAGCAAAGAGGATACTTCATTGTGAATAACTTTGATATTAATATTATTACCAGAAATGTGTCCTACAAGTGCCTGTTAAAACTTTGAAATCATTGCAGTATTGCAGGTAGGTGAACCAAAATCAGAAAATTCTGCAGTGACAGATGCTTCTTTCTCTGTGAGATTATAGAGGATGCTGTGTGTACTACAGCTGCTTTATACTGGAGTTCAATCTACATTAGTGAAAATACTAGCATGATAACATTAACAGAGCATTGAAAAATGTCTTCAGTACATCACATGGTTCAGGTTTCTCATGAAGTCCCATCTTTCTTATTTCCCCTAATCTGTAGATACAGTTATTTACAATTCAGGAGCCTACTCAGAGAACAGAAGGCCAGTGCTTACCAAACCTGAGTGCAGGTATGCACTCATGTGAGCAGATTCCAACATGCCCTTTAAGACAGGGCCTTGGTAATGCTAGAGACAGACAGGGAAAGATTTCATTTGGATCCTCTGCTGATGTCCTTGCTGAACTTTATAGAAACATGGTTTTACAGGACTGTGGTCCTAAATGATGAGAATGGCACCATCTCTGAATTGAATAAGGAATGGCCATATAAGGGGTGAGATAAAAGCCAACCTGGCATACAGAGCAGTTCAAATGTCCCCTTTTATAAAAAAAAAAATAGAATTATCTAACTTTGTAATGTAAATATGACAGCTTTGATCTCTTGGTATATATGAACTACTTATTAGCTTGCCACCTGATACAACCTTCTAGAAGTAACCTACATTAACTATTTTGCAAAATAATTAGAGATTACTTTTACATGTCTCTTACCAAATAGCTATTAAACACTTGTGGATTATATGCTAATTTATAAGGACAGTGCAGGAAATCTAAAAAATCTGACTTATTTTGGTTGTGGACATGGAAATATTATGGCTATCATTATTGACTGTCAATACTTGCATGCATTAAAGAAAAGTTAATAGTTGAATAACATCAGCGTTATCACAGTCACACTATCACAATTATGAATTCTCTTCAGCCAGAGAACTACTTAACAACTGTTTATTTTTCAAACATTAAAATAATTTCCAGCTCTAGCAATATTGATACTAATATGATTTAATTTCAAAATTACATCTTAAGTTAAATACAGCTCTTAAACCAAACTTTTTTACTTTCCACAAATAGCAGATTGGAAACACTTATTCTTTGCAATGCAAAAGATGTCACACTCTGAAAAAACAATTTATGTAACACTGAATGTAACTAACCCTTGATTTAAAAAGAGTAAATATAAACGTTAAATTCTCAGGATTAATTATATTGTGCTAGATTTTCTACACTTGTCTATCGATATAATTCCACAGTGCACTTAAATAGCAGATTGTTAAGCTTTGTAACTGTTGCTAAAAACTATTCTATTGTAATAATATGGGGGATATAATGGGAGGTGAGAATCAGGACAGAATAAAAGGAGGGAAGATGGGAACCCCTATACATACAAAAATTTATCATGGAGGATAATAAAAATAATTTTTAAAAAGAAATAAAAAGATTAATTATATTGTGAACACAGACACAATCTTGAGCACCCATAATTAGTTCTTATATTCATTTTAAAGCCACCTAATAATGTTTAGTAATATATGTAATACTTCAAGTTATCAATAATCACCCCTTTTGATTGAAATTCTCTGTGATATGATTATACTCGAACAGAATTTCTATTATCCTCTGTATTGTTGCTATTCAATAGTGATCTCTGTCTCTGTAGAATTTTAACATGCTAAAATTTAAATTCATACATGTAATCATTTCTTTTCCCGACAGGTTCTTTGGAAATTTGATGGCATGAAACCACACACTTTAGGACCCAACACTCGCCTCTATAAATGGATGCCGCAGAATGACCTCCTTGGTAAGAAGCTGGAGAGCAAATACTCAAACCATAAGTGACAGCCAATCAGGATCAGAGTTCCATGACCAATTAGTACTGAAAATCTTCTAGCATTTGCCATTTGATCCTTATACACTGTTTTAGGCTAAAAATCATAGTATCCTTTGATTACATGTTTTTACTTCTCAGAGAATATTTCTGCCTATGGGAATGACATGTAGGAGAAGTTGCTGCTTGGACACATGCATCCTCTACTAGAGCTCCTGAACTCAAGTTCCAGCTCCACCTCTGTGTCCTGTTTCCTGATAACTCACACTACAAAAAGTAGGCAGCACCCCAGCTGTAGGCAACTAACTAGGTTGCCTTGAACCTAGGCAAGTGTCCCACTGCTGGGAGAAAAGTAGCTAATAGCTGGTGGGCATTCTGGGCCTGGTTAAATCTAAATTTGTGTTAACTACATCAGTGTGCCAGCATAGTTGTCTCTTCTACTTTTTAAGTTATGTGGGGGGCAGATGCTAGCATGATAGCAGATGTGGTCTGGGAAATGGCATGTGAGTGTGCATGGCATTTGGGTAAGTAGGCAGGGCTACAGAGTGGCACACCATACCACTGGAAGACCAATTCTGTGGACCTGCATGTTCACAGGCATGGTAGGTAGTATATTGTTCTGGGAAGGGGCTGTGGGAATGTGTGGGAGGGAGCAATGCTGAGGGAGAATGTTACAGGTGAGGAATGACTTCTGGGGGAATACCACCAAACAAGACTACTTGCAAGCAAATGAAGGTGCTGAGGCTGAGTGGTTTTGATGAATGAAACTGCAGAAACTTTATAGGTCAGAGCAATGCATTAGTCCTGTGGAAAACCTAAGCTGGGATAGTCAGCATCACCCACTGCCCACCAGTGCACACAAAAGCTAGAATTGAGGGTCTTCCTGGAAGGATAGGCCACAGTACCAGACATGGGTGTTAGAACAAGGAATTAGATGTTGATTTTGTTTTGTGGCTCTTCATTTAAGGGGCTACCCACACCTGTCTTGTGTGGAACCTGTAGAATGCCACGTTGATGCAGTTTACTGAGTCAGAAATGAGCTCACTCCCAGCTCAGTGTATGCTCAGTCCTTTCCCTTGCCTTTGCCTCCTTACTCAAAATGGCACCCAATTCAGCTCTAGGGCGCTGATTGGGCTGTGAAATTCACCCTGTTCTCACATTGCCCATCTGTGATCTGCTGCTCTGTCTTTGCTCCTGGTCAAACCAAACGGACCAACAGAATGGAGAGTTTTTTTGTCTGGGTTCTCCTCCCCAGCTCCTGCTGTTGAGTGTGACAGTCAGGGCTGATGTTGATCAGCCCAGCCAGGATGCTCCCCTTGTTGGCAGGTGGTGAACCAGGCAAGACCAAGCTGTTGTTCTGTCCTCTCCTATTTCCTGGAATGCATCCTCTCTACTTCATCCTGACTAAATGTTTCTCCATCCATTTAAATGTGCTATTTTGATTCTAATGTAGGTCAGACCAGACAGGCACAGCTGCATATGCAATATCTAAGGTTGGGAGCGAGCCTGATGGGGATGGCTACAGAAAATATTTTGCTGGCCCACTACTCCCACTGGTATGCGTAAGAGAAGGCATACCAGAATGGGCAGGGGTGCAACAATTATCAACTTTGAGGTGAGCTAGATCTGGGAGAGGGCCAGATTAGGCCAGGCCAATGCATCTGCTAGAATGCATACGGGCTAGATGTCAACTGGCAGGATTTGTCACAATACCTGCTAGAAGTTCCAGGTCAGGGTACATGTTGTGTCAGACTGGACCACAGTACTCCTTGGAAAGTGCAAGATCCAGGAATGAGAGTGAGCCTAGCATGGAAACAGTGGGCATTCCTCTCCTGTAGGTGTACATGAAAGCCAGGGTTGGCAGCAGGTCAAGCTGGACAATGTGGACACACTAATTGACATATGTGTGGACTGGTTCATGTGATATGACAGGCTGAGTTATGGTGCAACATCCATAGGTATATACAATCGCTCAGTTGGGTTGCAGCATGGGCCAAGCTACTCTGTAGCACATATTGGTGTGCATAGAAACCAGTGCAGAGGAGGGTCTGGTGATGGCTTAGGGGAACTACTGTGTGGAAGTTCCTGCTGCTGGGTGCAAGGGCTGGATCTGTGGCACTCTACTCTGGGTTGGGCCATAGCAACCCACAATTTTGTGGATGTGGGGCTAGGAACAGAACTGACCAGTCAATCACAATCACCAATGTATACATAAGCTGAAGTGGGTGACAGATTGACTAGACCCTACACTGGCTAACACACTCAAAAACCCTGTATGGCATAACTTAAGTGAGATTTCTTGAGGGGTACTCCTCAGTTGTAGCACTAGACTCAAAATTCCCCGCAGAGAGAATCATAAGATACAGAGTTGAATCTTGCAATACATTCACTGAACTGGGCCTCCTCAATTGCTGATGCCTGTGCAGTGGGCAGCATTCCAAAGCTCATAAGGGGGACAAAATGGCCAGCTCATTTCAGCCTAGAGAGGGCATTGAATGCTCTTTTAGATGGTGAAGTGCAGAACAACTCTCAAATTTGGCAGCAAGTATCTGGTGCAGGGATGCACTAGGGTGGACTCTTTCAACCAATAGACACTGAAAAGATTTTATTAACCTTGTAGCAGTGAGATTAAGAGCATCAGATCTATCAAGATGACTCAAGCAATAACCTCAAATCATTATTCTTCACATTGGGATTTTTAAGATGATGTCAGGTAGGCATCCTTTATCCCCGATAATGATATAGTTTGGCAGATGGGACATGTTTCCACCCATTTTCTCAAGCCCCCAGCTTCACTACCATGCAGGTGAAAAGGGAAGAAAAGGCAAATAGGAAACATTTGTTCCACCCATCTTCCCTGTAACTTGACACTCCCCTCCCAAGTCAGAGGTTCTCAAGGGCCTGCATTCTTGTCAACCACTTAAACAACATTAAAATAAAATAAAGTAAAATAATAAAATAAAATAAAAAAGCAATGTAGGGACCAAACTGATGACTAAAGGCTTTGGGTCATTGATAGCCATAAGGTAGAGTCCAGATTAAGTTCCTTGCTCATGGTTTTGCCTTGTCCTGCACTTCCCAGCTGGTAGGAATGCTTTTCATGAGGGAATCAGAAGATCTTGTTCTATGTTTCAGTTTTCTGGTGCCTTTTGTTTGTGCATGTGTTTCTCTCTAGTTCTTACTATGTTTCTTTCGAGTATATTAATTATACCAAAGTAATAATTTCCTGGGTTGTATTATTAGGTGTTATTTCAGTAATTATATCTTTCATCTGCCTCTCTACTAAAAGGGGTTCCCAAATACCACCAATTATAATATGTTTGTGTTATTGGGAATTGCTCAGTATTATGATGAGATGGTATGGGATGTTAAGAATGAGTGTAGGATTTCTTTCTTGTGATTCCAGCACTGGAAGCATGCCATGATCTACAACCTTGTACATCTTCTGAATCACATTAGGTGAACACACTATTTCTTTAAGAGAAAATATTCCAACAGTTGCTTCACATTTTAATTTGGCACATGAAGCTCTTTTGCCCAGCAACTTTTCTTGCCAATAGCATTTGTCACTATTGCATATACTCCAAACCTCAAATCACATACCATCTTTCAGGGGACCTCACTGACTTCCCCAGTAGGCCTAGCCACCTCTTCCTCTTGATTTGAAAACAATGTAAATCATGGTTCATGTATGTCAATGTCTTTAGAGGACACTGCTCTTTTCAGATTCTCATGCTATATGTTTCTCATGTTATTTTTTAATTTGCAATTACTATTTGAATAAAAATTCACTCAATCTTAGGTCATCCAAAAACCAAGGCTTTTATAACTCATGGTGGAGCCAATGGCATCTATGAAGCAATCTACCATGGCATCCCGATGGTGGGCATTCCTTTGTTTGCGGATCAACTTGATAACATCATATACATGAAGGCCAAAGGAGCAGCTGTTATGTTGGACTACAAAACCATGTCAAGTGCAGATTTGCTCAGTGCATTGAAGACAGTCATTAATGACCCTTCGTGAGTATTACCGTTTCCTTAAATCATATGGTGTCTTGAAATAAGTTTATAGTGGATGGACCACCAGGGTCAAAACTAACATAGAACATGAACTTTGAGTACAGGTTTGCCTAATTATATAAGATAGTCATCAATAATTCACTGGGAGTATCACAATATTTCTGGTGGGTTTGTAAAATAATTTTCATTTTTTAAAAATCCTGTACAGAAGTTCCATTGCTCAGTAACTGAAATTGGAGACATAAATTAAGATTTTGCAGAAGTTTAAAATAAATGATTGGGAAGAGTGCTGTAGCTGTGATCCATGACTGCTAGATTTGCTCTTACTGGTAGCCAGCATTGTTACATCTTTGATTAAAAAATAACTCATAAATGCTCTTTTTAAATATATTGTGTATATGTCAGATATAAAGCCTGATGTGTGGAATGCATACACATAGTAAAAAGCTATTGTGTTAAGCCAATAAACATGCCCATTATCTGACATATATATTTAAATGGCTCTTTTTTTTTTTAAAGATTTATTTTTATTATTTTTTATTGGAAAGGCGGATATACAGAGAGGAGATACAGAGAGGAAGATCTTCCATCCGATGATTCACTCCCCAAGTGAGCCGCAACGGGTCGATACTATGCCGATCCGAAGCCAGGAGCCTCTTCTGGGTCTCTCACGCGGGTGCAGGGTCCCAAAGCTTTGGGCTGTCCTCGACTGCTTTCCCGGGCCACAGGCAGGGAGCTGGAAGGGAAGCCGGGCTGCCGGGATTAGAACCGGCGCCCATATGGGATCCCGGGCGTGCAAGGCGAGGACTTAACCACTTGCGCCACCGCGCCGGGCCCTAAATGGCTCTGTTTTTAAAAACTGCTATGTATGTTTATTTTCATTGAACCCACTTGAAATCAATCTCTAGTTTCTCTAATTCGTAACATATCTTATTCCTCTTTGAAGATGCCTCAATTTCTATTATATTATTACATTTTCATTGATCAATGGTAAGAAGTAGAATGTTTTAATTTGCTGATTTCACATTTATTTTTAAAAGTACTTCTTTTAAATGTAAGCAAATTAAATTACTTCTGTGTGTGGTTTTCATACTTTTTAGATTGTAATACGAATGAGTAGTTGACTAAAAATTGATAAGCTGAAATATCCCTGTTTAGTAACAATTCTGGAATAAATATGTATTTCTTAAATAAGTTTTTATAGGAATTACCTTGGGTTAACTTTGATGTATGACACATATTTTTGGATTTGTGCACTGTCTTAAAATGAAGTTAACACATTTAAGTATATATTGACAGCAATAGTAAAATGGACACAGGTTTTTAAAGTAATGTGACCTTAATTTGGCTACAGCAATTGTTTTGCCTAATGAGCACCAGAAAAAGCAGACATTTTTTCCTTTTTCAAATTAGACTATATTTTTCAGTTGCCAATTCAGTTTAAAAACATCACTCTCTAGCATAGATGTCATTCTGTATTATTAAATTTTAAAGAAATATAATGAATTCAATAAATATAAGAGTAAATATAATGAATGGCACAATATGACAAATAATAAAACAAATATAACACAGATCAATGTGAAATGATTTTCTAGAATGATTAATTGAATGTGTGTTACACAATACACCACGAATTCATTTTTTGCATATATTATGTTACTTCTTCATTTTGCACATATTGTGTTTACATTTTCATTATAGCCTTTCTTTCTCATAAGCAGATTTCATTTCCTTTGGCTATATTCCCAAAAGCAGGACAGCTGTGTTATACAATAGATCAATTTTCAGTTGTCTTAGCACTCTTCATACTGACTTTCATGGTGATTGTACTAGCCTACACTCCCACCAGCAGTGAAGGAGAATATCTTTTCCCACACATCCATGCCAGCAAATGCTGTTAGTACAGTATTGAGTATAAACCAAAGCCACAGGAGTTAGGGGAAATCTCAGTGTGGTTTTTGTTTGTTATTTCCCTGATAACAGGGGAATATGAGCATTTTCTCATATGTCAATTAGACGTTTGAATTTGTTCTTTTGAAAAATGTGTGCTCTTTTCCTTTGTTTTGTCACAGGATTGTTAGTTTTGCTGTCATTGAGATTCTGAAGCTCTTTGTAAATCTTGAGTAATAGGCCCCTCTCTGTTGTGTAGTATGCAAAGATTTTCTCCCATTCTGTTGATTGCTTTCTCCCTTTGTTGATCATTTCATTTGCTACACAGAATCTTCTTAGTTTGATATACTTCCATTTTTTTTTCTATTCCGACTTTGACTACCTCTTTTCAGTGACTTTTCTAAAAAGTATTCACCAATGCCTATATCTTGGAGAGTGCTTCATATGTTTTGCTCTAATAATTTGATGGTTTCTGGGTGCATATTTCAACCTTTGATGCATTTAGAGTTAATTTTCTTATAATGTGGCAAGTGGGGGGGGGGTCTTGCTTCTTACTTTTGCATGCTGCTATCCTAACCAATTGTCCCAACAGTATTGAAAACACGAAAACACGAAGACTTTTCCCCGAGTTATTTTCAGTTCTCTTGTTGATGATTGTTTGGCTGTATATGTGTGGACTTCTGCCTTGGGGTTTCGATTCTGTTGCATCAATTTTCTTCTCTGTTTCTGTACCAATACCAGGCTATTTTGATGACCACTGCTATTTAGTATATCTTGAGGTCTGGAATTGTAATTTCTCCTGCTTAATTATTGTTTTTCAGTATAGCTTTGAGTATTCACGTTCTCTTGTGTTTCCAAATGAATGTTTGTATTATCTTTTCTATTTCTGAGAAGAATGTTGATGGGATTTTTATTGGGATTTTGTTGAATCTGTATACTACTTTTGGAAATATGAACATTTTTATGTCAATCCTATCATTACAGCCTACCTGGTCTAGTGTCTGGGTGAGCTCTCTTGTTTCCTTGCTGAGTTTTTGTCTCCTCAATCTGTCCAATGATGTTAATGGGGTGTTAAAATCCCCAGCTGTTGCTGCATTGGAGTCTATTTCTCCCTTTAAAAGCATCAACATTTTTTCATATAGCTCTGTGCCCTAGAACTTGGTGCATATATATTTATTATAGTAATTTCCTCTTACTGAATGGATACTTTGATCATCGTGTAGTGTTATGCTCCATCTCTTTTAATGGTTTTTCACATCCAAATCTCTGATATCTGATACAAGAATGACTATGCCAACTCATTTTTGCATTCCTTTTCACCTGCAATATCTTCTTCCATCCTTTCACTTTCAGTTTCCACATATCTATATTGGTCAAATGTGTCTTCTGTAAGCAACGAATACCTGGGCTTTGCTTTTTGATTCAGTCTACTAATCTATGATGTTTGATTGATGAGCTTAAACCATTTATTTTAGGGTTAATATCAATAGGAAGTGATTTGGTACTGTCTTTTTAACAATAAGTTGTTCATTTCTTGATCCAGTATTCTCTTGTTTATTTTTGGGGAGGTGGAACATTGTCCACATTTGCCATTGGTTTGGGTAGGTGCTATTCTCTTTCTCTGCCAGTAGAACATCTTTAACATTTGTGGGGAGGTCTTAGTAGAGGTGAAATCTTTGAGCTGCTCTTTGCTGTGGGAGACTTCTCTTTGATTTTCAAAGACAAAAGAAAGTTTTGCTGGGTAAAATATTATGGGGAGGTAGGGTTTTTTTTTTCCTTTTTAGGATTTGGAATGTCTTTTCTTTCTCTTTTGGCTTGTGGAGATTCCTCTCACAGGTCAGCTGTGACTGTGACTGAGGCTTCTCAATAAATTTTCTTTTCATGTGCACATTTCAGTATCTTCTCCTTAAATTTGACCACTGAGAGCTTGATTATGATATCATGGTACTGGGAATTCTGTGGCTCTCCTGTATTTTATTTCTAAATTCTTTCTCCATATTGGGTAAGTTCTCATTTATTATTTCACCAGATATATATTTTTTGAACTCAGTTTCTTTTTCACCACCTAAAGGCACTTCCATTACTCTTATAGTCAGAATTTTATGGTGTCCTTTAACTCCTGGATGCTTCTTACCTTGACTCAATTCACCTTCCAGCTTTTTGACTTTTTCAGAGTGACTGGAGAAGGAATCTTCCAATTCTGAGATTCTTTCTTCTGCTTCTTGTTTTCTATTATTGAGGCTTTCCACTGAGTTTTTAATTTACTGCATTGTGTGCTTCATTTCTATTCATTCATCTTGAGTGTCAGGAACTGGTCATTGCAACTTTGATTAGCAAGTTCTTTTCTTTTGGCTGGTTTTTAAGCTGTGCTGTCTGCAGGTCTACCAGTCAATTTACTGATCATATTCAATTCCTGTTAACTTGCTGTTGTTTGTGCCACTCCTGTGGCAAGATTCAGTCCTGGGATCCCATGTCACACTCCTGGCTCATCACTGTCTACCCCCTATAATCCCATGCTATGAACACAGCATTACCTGCTAGACTTTTTCCTGCTCCCAGTTCCAGCAATACTCATGATTAGGAAACACTAGCTGTCCTAGGTTACAGGGTTATCCACGATATCAGACATAATATGGATGGAGCCTATTGGCTGCAAGTTGTTACTGTTTTCCTGATAGGACCAATGGAACGTGTTAAGTTAGGAATGAGTTCTCCCCTAGCTTAGCACAAAAACAGCTTCACTGTTGTCCTTCGTCCAGTACCTTTGGCCCAGTTCACAAAACGGTGCCCAATTTAGTAAAAATAGGATGTAGGCCATGAAATCCATGCTGCTGAAATTCATCTCACCTGACTTCCTGCGCTCTGCCACTCTGCTACTTCTCCCCTTAGTAATATCAAACAAATGAGCAGGACCTGCAGTTCTGTGGCTGGCTTCACTTTCTGTGTTGTTGGTAAATGCCCCTTTCCATTTCCCCACTGGTAGAGCTCTTCCTGCCAGTATCTACTAGAAGCTTGGTCTGCATTCCTGAACCAATTTGGATGGAACCTGTTTTCCTGGTGAGATCAGTGCAATGTGCTGAGCCAGAAGTGAGTTTTCTCCTGGCTTAGCACATGTGCAGCCCACTGTTGTCCCTCCTCCAGCAACTTTGCCTCAGTTCACAAAATGGCACATGGTGTGGCAGTGTTGGGAGTCTGGGCCATGAAATCTACCCTTTTCCCACGCCCGACTGCTGGATCTCTGTCACTCTGCTTCTGTATGAAGTCAGAATAAATATGCCAGCATGACCCCAAGATCTATGGGTGGTTTGGTTTCACCACCTGAGTTCTCAATGAACTTCCTACCCCACCTGGCCAAGGAGGAGCTGGGATCCCTGGCAGAGCTCCAACTGCTGCCAACTAATTGCTGATCAACACTGGAGTACTTGTTGACTGAAGCATTGCTCTGCTGTCTCTGCTGCCTTCCCACATTGATAGGTCTCCAGGTGTCCTGCCATCAACCTGACCCTCCTAATTCCTGGATTCTATGCTATCTGCTTTAGCTGAGATAATGCTCCTCCACGTGTTAAAATCTGTTCTCCCCATGTTCAGCACTTTTGCCTACTCTACATTTGAAATTTTAAGCACAATAATTCAAGCCTATAAAGACCTCTACAATTTCATACTGCAGAAAATAATTTATTTTTCTTCTAGCTATTGGTTGCATTCCTCTTTCAAATCTACATGAAAAATGCATGGGTTTATATATTGTAGCTTATACTACAATTTGATATCTATTGATTTTCCTTTAGATACAAAGAGAATGCTATGACATTATCCAGAATTCATCATGATCAACCCATGAAGCCCCTGGATCGAGCAGCCTTCTGGATCGAGCATGTCATGCGTCACAAAGGAGCCAAACACCTTCGGGTTGCAGCCTATGACCTCACCTGGTACCAGTACCACTCTCTGGATGTGATTGGATTCCTGCTGGCCTGTGTGGTTACTGCTGTACTCATCATCATAAAATGCTGCCTTCTTATTTATCATAGTATTGTTGCAAAAGGAGAGAAGAGAAAGAGGTATTAGAGCTCAGTAACATCTAAGTCTGATAATCATGACAGGAAAGATCATTCCTTTTATATCAACCACTGTGGATCATTGTGCTGGGGTCCGTGCAGTAAGTGTGGATGGCACAAAGGTGTGAAGAGAACAGCTCCCCTGCTTGGCAGGGCCCGGCGGATTTCTCTCTGACCATCTTGACGCAGTTTCACCCCATTTCGCATGGACACTCAACTACCCCACTAAGAATTTTATAATCTATTGAGGCATTGTTTGCCCCTGTGAGATGGCTTTTTAAACCAACATGAGCTTAAGAGTTAATGTTATTGATAATGTCTTGGTGAGTGGGCCTTTAACTGCACACAGGAGTACAATTAAGCCCATGCCGTGTCTAGATACCTTATTGTGTGTCTACCCATTACTCTGAAATCTGACCCAAACATTTAGCATGCTTTCTGGGAAATGGCTTGATAAAAATTTTTCAAACTAATGGAAGTGATGAGAGTATGGGCTGATGCTGCTATGACAAAAAATTTAGCTACTGGAACCCTAAAGGCTGAGCTTGCAGGCCTAATGGCCAACTATGTCAATGACCCCAATTCCCATAAACTAAGGCTCCAGACTTTTTAACCCATACATAATTCAAGGTAGGGGTCTGGTTGTCACAGGTGGTGCTAAGGTTAGAGCCCAGACCTGAGGAGAGCAGGTGGGGACTGGCAAGCCAAGATAGACAACGAACGTGTAATCCTCCCTCACTCACCTCTCATGCTGTAAATAGTGCCGCCCCTAAAGAAAACTTTGTAATTGTACTGTTTAAGGCCACACTCTGCGATGGAGTGGGTGCAACACCATGATGTAAAAAATCTGTGCCAGAGCTTGTGACTGCTTCTGTATAAATAAAGCGGACAGTTTTCTCACATGGTCCACAATGATCTTGGAGTTGTAGTGGTCTCTCTTCTTTCTACGCCTACTTCACGCACTCTTCTCGAGCTCTGAACTCAGCTGGAGCTGGATTCCGGCAGATCATGTTGTAGCAAGATGGACCTCCCTATTACTAAGTTCTTCTGGAGTCATCCAATTACTTTGTTTTTATTAAAGACTAAAAAACACAACCAAAGCAGCAGAAATCCTCAAATAATGATGATTTTAATCGTAACAGTGAAAAATGAGAACCACTACAACATCAGCCCAATGGCTTTAAGAGAAAAAAATGCTGACATTTTCTTGTGCATTTAAAAAATGCCATCTGGTTGATCATCTGGCTGATTACAAATTAATCCATTAGAGTATTTCTACCCTTGACAAAATTAAAAAAAAAAAACAGATCCATGGAAAAACTAAGACTGGATTTATCAAGAGTTCCACGAATGAAAGAATGATCTCAGGATAAAGAAACTTTAACTTCAACTTAGACAAAGTGTCAGTGATTTATAGAAGGCTGATTAAAGAAATTATAGAAGAAGAAAGAAATGGAAAATCGCTAGAAGTGGTTAGCAAGGTTGTTAAAACAACTTTGTTTTCCAATGTGGCAGAATGTGGAAGTATGACTCTGAACCAGTTCATTAGATGCCCAAGGATCCCAGAATTCATACTCTCAGCAGACTGAGAGTACTAGCAAGAAGAAGACCTTTTGCCTGGGACTGTGGCTGCCTTACTGGCCTAGCATGGCTGCGAATGAGCAGTGCCTCCCTGTGCCTCCTTCCTCATTAGTTGCTTATAGCTGTTCTTATCTCCTTCCTCAGATAATTGGTTTGATTGTTAGAATTCATTCCTGAAAAACATGCTTACTCTTTTGCTGCTACACTGATTGTTACTTCATTTCCTTGCTCTCTATTCTTAGAGGGGCTTTCTGTGGTTGGCTAGGTAACCTGTCCAGTATATATGTATGTATGTATGTATGTGTACATATATATATACATACGTATATGTATATATATATATATTCTGTTGAGTACAGTTAAGTGTGCATTGCTTCACTTGCTTTGCATTCCTTGTGTCCCAATCTTTCTTGGTTGTCACACATCTGGTCCCAGTCTCCTCAGAGGGACCATCTATAGCAGAATTTTTTTCTCAGAAAAAATTTAGCATGGGGTACAAGTTCATCTTGAGGAGTATAACTCAAGAGCCAGTGCAAACAAGACAGACTAACTTTGCTGAGGTCTATTTGCACAATGTTTAGAAAATTATTTTGTGCTGCATGGAATTTATAGTTCACATTTCTCATATCATAGAAAAACTTTTTCTTGAATTTTAGAAGTCCTAAACTCACTTACTAACTAAATTTATGCAACCTTATTAAAGTATTTGATTAGAAATGTTTAATATAATTTCTAGACTGTGCCTTGAAAATGCTTGTTGCATTTTTAAAAATTAAATGGTCATCTTACTGGATATTAAGACATAAAACAGGAGGCGAGAGAAGCTCTCATTACTTAGGAATGGTATCTTGCATCCAGTAAATTCAGTCCAGTACATGTAGACTATAATGTTAGCTGGTTTCTGTCCTCCTATAGGAATATCTTCCATTTCTTGTCTCTATCTTCTTAAATCCAGTAATTCCAATTGTTTTAATATCTGTGATGCTGAGGATACCAAAACCAGAGGCTTATGTTTTATAGTCTTCAATCACAAAATAAAAAAAAAACAGTGTGATTGGAATAAGGAGTAAATGATATGTACAGGGGTATTTGAAGCTTATTTTTGGAGGGAATAGTTTAAATGGCAAAATATCTTCATCTTATTCCTTTGAAGATATTTTAACCAAAACCTTCAGACTCAAAACACAGGTAGCAAAGTAAACATAGAATCAAGAAATCAATGAGAACACATATATTTAATATTCAAGTGAAGGAGAGACATGCAAAATGTCTTAAGCACTCTTCTATGCTACAAAAAATATAGCAATAATTGTTAATGAAACAAATTATAATTGTGTCTAGAAAATGAATGAGTACTTTACTAAACTTTTATAAATGTATTTTCATAATGTTTGGAACCCTATACATATCTCTTGTTGCAGATAATGAAGCTCTATATCACTGCCAAAACAAAATTAATGCCTTTTGCTGCTTTCTTAATGAACTTCTGCAAATTCATTAATGCCTTTTTCAAAATAGATCTTTGTAATTCTATAGTCAATTAAATAAATATATATGAGTAAATATAAATATATGATAGTGCTAAAAGCAGTTACTTTTACCTGTTTTAATTGAGAAATATTTTTGTTTAAAGAAAGTTACATAGTCAAAATTATGTAACTATGCTTCCATGATACTCTTGGTAGGGAATCATAAAAACCCCATTATCTTAAATTCCCTGAAGTATAAGATGTTTTGTAATTTTTCAATATTGCTTCTGCAGGTGTCACATGTTTTAGCAGTCAAAAAATTGTAACAAACTGTTTTTGCCATAAAATTATAAAAATAAGAGTTGCACAACTTTCTCCATCTTTACTTTCATTGTCATAGTCTCTATCAAATATTCTACCCAAATAGATGCAAACTCCACAGAGAGAAAAACTCTAAAAATAGTGAGCTTCCTCTTGATAATGATACATGGACTTGGCTTATGTCAGAAACTAACTAGAAATTTTGTCATTAGTTCCTCATCTATAATATTTATTAAAGAATAAGTAATATAAATATGTTAACTATAAGTCTTATTTGCATGTTGTTAATTAATTAATATTAAACATTTTCTTAACATCAATGATAATGGCAGAATTAGAGCAGAGTCTGGGAAGAGATGTGTCTTCCTACATATCCCCCTTTCCACTGCTGCTCTGGATTCTTCTGCTGATGAAGCCCAACACTCATCCAGCGACAGATTTACAGGCTCTGGATTCAATATCACAAAACTATATTTGGGAACAAACAATGGTAAAATGAAAATTGGTGTAGCCAAAACAAATTAATAAAAAGCAAAGGAAAAAATTTAATTTCTCATTTTCTAGCAGGCCAACTATAGTAGGCACCTTTGAGCGCTGCATCATGCTGTTGTACACATGAGTAATAGGCATAATTCTGCTTTGAAAATGAAGTTTTTCAAAGTGACATCACACAAAGCTTTGGAAAAATAAGAACATACAGCAAACCTTTGTGGTTTCAGGCACAAAGATAGTAAGTGCTGTGATGTTTAAATGCATAATCATACTTAACATAATGACATGATGGATTTTTTTATGCCACTGGTAAATATCTCAATCTTAGAGAATGCTTATTCTTTCATTAAAAATTTACTGTGTCACTGTGGTAAAAGTCATTGTGTACAATGGGATTCCATAATGGTGCAGAGTCAAATTCCTGCTGCTCCTCTTCAGGTTCCAGCTCCTTGCAAATTCTCCTGGAAAGCAACAGTGGATGGCTCAAGGGTTTAGGACCCTAGATGATTAGACAAACTAGATAAACTGGATGGAACTTATTGCATACTTACTGCATACAAGAGCTAGAGAGAAACTTTGGAATACAATCTGGAATGAACTACCTCTATAATGACAGGTGGGAGGTATATCATACAAAAGCTCCAAACTGAAGCAAGGATCAACTAAAGGAAATTGATTTTAAGATCATTTAAACTCAGTAACTGTAGCTCCAGAGGCAAACAGCATCAGTCTTACTGGGCTCTACCATCCTTCTTCCTACATTGGGAAACCAGGAATTGGGCAAAGTTCCAAGCACTCAGATGCCAGTGAGAGTGAATAGAAAAATAATCACACGTGTTTGCATTAGACCATTCCACAGGGCTGACAGACTAAAATGAAAAACTGAAAAAGAAAAGAGCAGCCACTATACTGAGATCACTGACTGCACATGGAGCATGGCACCAAAGTTGCACTGGTTGAAACCTTCATTTTTCATGGAAGGGTGTTATGTTCCACCTGCATATCCCCTGTTGATGGCTAAAGGCTTATCAAGCTGTGCATAGATCGAAGCAAAAGAAAAGTTGTCCAAATTTTGGGCTGCCCTGGCCTCAGGGGAATGTGACATTTTCAAGTACTCAGAATTATGCCAACTGCCATGAATACAGGA